GTCGACGCTAGTGCACATAACTGTTCGGTCCAATATAGCCTTGACTCCGGCCGGCGATGAGGTCTTGATCGATAATGCTAGTGGTAGTTCAGTCTTGACCCTTGATTTCCGTGAGGGGATCGTGGTAATAGTACGATCAGGTGCAGAAGGAGGACTCATAAAAAATCCATTCGATTGTCAACCCCATTGATTTCGTGCTGGAGAAGTATCATCGGCGAAAGCCGATAGTGAAAATGTTGGAATATAGCTAGCACGATATGCCATGCTTAAACGAAGCGACCCCGCACTTTAGGGTAGGTTTAGGGCGATCGGGAATTCTTCGGTTAATCTAACGCTTCGAAGTGACGTGAGGTTGATATCCATCTTCCAAAAGGATCCGCATACACCCGGGTTCGAAGTGCGAGCGGGGTTAGCCGATTCAATATTTAATATTACCACGCTTTGTCAGCCTCTGACAGCGGATCCGTTTCTCAATTGGAAGACAGTGCCCCTAACCCAAATAATCGGATCCGTACGACACGGCGCCACCAGATTCTACAGAACCGAATGTGCTGGAAACTAAGGTGCCGCAGGACGATGAGCGATATCACCACTGCCACTAGCCCCCTAAGGGAAGCTCTCGGAAAAATCCGCACGGCAGTGAACGAAAAACTGCGGCGTCACAAACAAAACGAAGTACCGGAAGAAGTCCATTCCCAAGAACTAGTCCTCAGCACCTGGAGCGGAATCTTGGAAAGTGAGGCCAGTTTCCCTGTGGATCGGCTGGATTGCATAGTGGGTATTCCGTCAGGGGATGCGCTGAAGCTGCACGTGCAAAAATGCATTTCCCCGAATCTTAGGCATCCGATTACGAACGTTCACAACCCTTACGGAGGTCCAGCCCTTCCCCCACAAACCTTCAGGCAATCCTGCCGCGTAAGCTATGGAGGTTCTCCCAAAAAAATTAGCAGATGGGTTAGGACTCTTTTGAATTGAATTGTTGTGTCAAATTAGTGCCGCGCTCTCCCCTTGACCCATTTGGAGAGCTTGGCTTCACCAGCACTTTAAAATCCAATAATGAGTATATTGGAATCTGCTTCATTTCGTCGCAAAAGTATTCTCCGCACCGCTCTCCGGAGTTTTCAAGCCGGGAGTGGAAATGCCCTCCCGCCGGATCAACTTGGTTCCGTACAATACTGTGGCTAACTGGGTTGAAATCATGCGCTGGACCAGTGGATTGGGGTTACAAGCTCCATTCTGTGGACGGCATGCAAAATAGGCCGGGATTGTCATTGGGAGTGCAGACTCTCTTGAAATAGGCCCATAAAACAAGTGTACAGTCCGGCAAATGGATCTGATGGTTTTTCCCGTGTCAAAGTCAATGATTTTTATAAACGCCTCGCGCGCTGCGTCTTATGAGGCAGGAATACGGCAATATTCCACGGCTCACTCGAAGTCCACCTTCTTGAGAAATCCAGGACATTGATGTTGGCACTCGCCTCGGAAGTCACGAAAAATGGTCACAAATGGTGGGTAGTTCTAGTTTGCATTTGTATATCGACTGATCAGACAATTTCGCACAGGGAGTTCCTGTTTCGACAAGGCACTTATTTTGACGCAACTATCACTGGAAAGCATACTTCAGTTCCGCCACCGCCATGAGAGAGCACGTTCAGCTTTGAACGCTTGTGTTCCTCATCCAAGCTAATTCCGTTAAGGTCTTTGTGCCGATGGCACAGGAGGCTCTGGTTGCTGACAGAAAATATCATCTTCCCATATGGATACATAACACACCGTCCCGTTTCTCCCTATGATCGTTAGCCCGTTTCGCCTATGCCTAGATAAGCAACAACCAATATTTGATCCCAGAGACCGTGCATTTCACTCAACGAAGTAAGGGTGAGAGCATGGAGTACAGAAGGATGGAAGTTTCGAGAATGTGAAAGTGGTGTTCCAACCCTCGAACAAGATTTCCCCTCAATTGATGGAAATAACCTCAACGTCGAGTGTTACGTGGGATTCGAGAGGGTAAGGTAGCAGTTTCCGGGTCTGTCATGATGGAGTCGGTGAAAGAAGTCGGGACAAGCTGATAGAGGATGACGCACGTTGGAGTCTGTGAGTTCTAAGCACAACCTGCTTCCCGGTGGGATATTTTCGAGAGCTGCGAATAGCGTTAGAGGGAGTAGCTGGGTCCAGAACTAAGAAATGTGTCTACCCCAGGTGAGCTCTCTGATAGGACCGGGTTGTCCCACCCGTAAACTCATGGAGCTGTTCACGGCCTAGTCATCAAAGTAAGTAGGGAGGGACGGATTTAAATGAGGATTTGCTCGCCTCTTCGCCATCTACTACGATGCGGTACGTCAACTTGACGGTGTCTACGCGCCAACGTTAACAATTACGGTGCCTTCAAAAGTTCAACTTACCACCGCGTCTTGAAGTCTGAAGTGAGCTTCGTGAGCGAGGGCTGAAGCGCGGAATGATGCAAACCCCACCTTTTCCTTTACGGATCCCTTTTTAAGCCAAGTGACGGCCTCAGGTTGGTCATAGAATGGGAGGGGCACATCCATGGATTGTCGATTAAAGGAACTCCTTGATATAGCATTTTGTGTTGCGTCGATAATGCGACGTAATACCGGCGCACGTTGCTTGCTCGCTTGTGGCGAAGAACGAGACCACAAGGGGGGCATGGGTGGCGAGGGGGAGTGGCAAAGTACTCAGTAGCCATAAGTTTTGATTCATATACTCTGAGTGGCATGATAACGCTAAATCCTAATTCAATAGAATGTTCGTTATAATCAATTATTTTATGCCGGAACGTCCCACATAGCCATGACAAAAATGATGGAAAGTCAACTGTCTGAGAAGGCCCGCTGTGGCCAGTAGGTTGAAGTGTACGGCTCGCAGTCAGACACCACTCTCAAGCTATCCGTATGTGTGGAATCGATTGAACACAGCGAAGTAGTATGACCCATGCGGAGTTTGGCGGGAGCCCTGCATCCAGAAGTGCTCGCTCTCCTACAGTCGCCACTGCAGCGGCCCAGCACGTTTCCTGGGTCTGGAACAGTTGCCTCGTCTTATTCCTCATTAAAGTGGGTGGGAAAATCGATCTGCAGGGCGTCAAGGAGGCATTTTCGTCGGCGAAATTTGAAAATACGAAAAAGACAAGATTGAGCGGTCATACAATCGCCGCACACGGGTTAAGGGGGCAGTGATAGACCCTCTTCAATGGATTTTTTTGATGAATGGCTAGTGATGCAAAGCTCAGTGGCTCGTTCAGTAATTGTGTGAAAACGCATGTAGGATTTGATGGAAACCAGAAAGGTTGTCGGGGTCGACTTCACCAGTCGAAGCCATACCATCGTCAAAGAGGATTTCAAAGTTGGAATATCGACCTGGCCTGTATTTGGAGGCCAACTTGCACCGGGTTCTTGGGCAGTGGCGTGTAGAAAAACATCTCACGCTCTTCATTTGGAAGGTCCGATTGTTACTTGGGTTCCCATTCAGATAGCGGATTAATTTCTAAGAAGCCCAAGAATGTGTCCGTGTATTGATGGGCGGGGAATAGAGATGAATACTTCCATGCACATCGTGAGTTTCTGGAGACCCTTAGCAAGGACTGCGAACAAGTAGGGGTACGTAATGCGAGAATGTATTCATAGTTTTTAGGTCCACAGTTGACATGCAGAAACTTAGGAAAAGTCTAATCAGTCCACTTGTTGACAAGACATTGCAACTAATATTTGAGCTGTAGATACGCGATAGTGACAGGAGACAGATTGGAGTGCTAAGACATTGCATGCATCGTAATAAGCGATCCTGTGTACCACCGTTTGTGCACGCGATCGTCTCCGAAGAACGTGAGTGCTGCAGCTTGCGCGAACTAGTCAGTTGGAAGGGTATATAAGGCGATCAATTCTTTTTTGGAGACCGACGCAATCACGGCAATTTGGTTAAGAATTGGGTGGTGACCAGGAAGGTTGAAGAACGCGCCTAGGGTACGCCGCTCGTAGAATAGATCCATCCTGCTTGAGCCAAGGTTGACTATTGTAGGGCAGTCGAACGATCCTAATCAAGTGCATTCCAGGGAGTAACAGAAATACCCAAGCTGTTAGCACGCAAACCCGCCATCATGAGCAGTCTTCGAGTGTACCCGAAGAGCCGCAGATAATGGACCGACTGCCGTATGGTCCCGAAGTTACATTGATCGCAACGTGGACGAGAATTCGGGGCTTATGTACGAGTCGTTGACAAACACAGTCCAAGGGAGCGGAATCGAAGTAGGGTTGGGCCTTACCATTGAACTGTGCCACCTGGCAAAGAAACCACGTACTAATGGCGATTAGTATGACCTGAGCAGCGCAAGACGAGGACCAAAGAAACAGGGCGAAAACGGAAGATGGATGCGTAGTCCTGAATTGGGAAGGCGGCATCGTTTATTGCGGGAGAACTCGGTGTCGGTGCGGGTGGACATCAAAACCTAGCTAGATTGTTCATGTCACAGCCTTGTTTCCACCTGAGTTCTGTTGTGAGAGAATCAATGCAACTTTCGAAAAAATGGAAATAACAATGAAGGTAGGCCCATGAAATTGCTCTCCACGACCGCAACGCCTTGGCTTCCGGATGGGTGCTTTATGTCGGAAGCGTGGATGTACACGAACCTTGTCAACTTTCTCAAGTCAGCGGTGGTGGGGGTCTTACTAGCGCTTTCTCCACAACAGCTATGCCACTGAAACTTGGATAGGAGTAGATGGAGGAAAAGATTTATCGTGCTCACCGTCACTTGGACTGCCAGGAGGGATCACGAGCGTCCACGGATATGTGTCTGAACTTGGTGTGGGCAACCCGGGATTGTTCTGTCCATTGGAAGGACAACAGGGCAATCGTTCGATCGCGGAACAGGCACTCCCTTTATTGGAAGGCGAGGACACCACTCTCCACACAGAGTCACTCGCAGACCGACGTTACTGAATTGCCAGTCTACTGAATTGTGGTAAAAGGCGTAAGCACAGTTCTGTTTATGCTTGTTTCGTAGTTTTTGGTCGAAACATTTTCAAGCATTGTAGGCACCTTGTAGCGTAATTACAGAAGTTAAGTTTAGTAGTATGACGCTAGTCGAGCTGTTCCAAGACCGAACCAAATCACGACATCACTACGAGGATCTGCACACTGACATGTAGGTGTTTGCAACTGTTTCCCCCTATGTGCACATGCATCGCTTCCGCGGTACAACGGTGCTGTGAGGTATATTAGTTAGCAACAGCACGGGCGCCGAAGGACAGGAGCAAGGTTTCAGTGCAGGCATCCCAGGAAAGGGATTGGGGGAGTGGCGGACAAAAATGCGCGTCGAGCTGAGGGGTTGAAGAATGATCAATCTCGCGTGCACAACACTTTTCCGATGGTGAGGGCACTGATCGAACCAACAATTAGTTGATGACCCAGTTGCTCTTGTTAATCGCCACGCGATCCAGCTGGCCCCAATAGGAAACTGCGGGACGAAAAAAGACAAATAATTCATCAGCATCGCATCTGTGTTCAGTGAGATGCAGTCAAAAAGAAAACTTGTACACTTACTGGTACAATGACCTACCAACCGTTCAACCGATGGAATATGAACACTCCAATCAGTCCACCACCCACTTAGCCAAATGTTCAGCTCGTTCCACAATCTCTCCCATAGCGAAAGAAGAGTAGACGTGCTATTCATAGGTGATATGGCAGCCTGAAAGGTCTGAGCTGTGGAACAAGGTCCAGAATCGCTAGATATCAATTATTAGCGACAGAGTAAGCCATTTCCCAAAGCGGGGGCAAAGAAACGCAATCTCAACTGAGACAGACAAGTAGTCACTATGACGTAAGATCAGGTCCCCTGGGCATCCTTCACGATCCAAGAGATGGGTGTGAACATACCAGCGTCCCCACTCGAAAACCTTGTCCGGAGTCCTCATCATTTTCCGGTTAAACACTGGAAAAGCGGCCAAAAAAACACTCATCAGTCATTTCCATCCAATCCGACAGAATACCAGTCATACTGACTCGCCACGCTGCCCCGCAGTTCCAGGTCGCCCATTGCGCACAAGCATTGCGTAAAAGAGCTATTATTTTTGCGCGTCCATGGAGCTCCTCAGACTGGGTACGAGTCTGGTTGTACTGTCAAGAGGAATTGTTTTCACATAAGGATGGCGGCCATTTTTGGTTACAATATTACCTCAGACGTCTCCCTTCATTTGCTGACCCAGACTCGGAGTCGTTCTGACAAGATAAACAAAACCAATACCCAACAAGAATCATATGGGATCTGTATTCCTGGGACATGAAGGCCATGTACAAGCCAATCAATCACGTTCCAACTGCTCTGACCATCCCGCGAATTCTCGGAGGCCATCAAAAACGGTTTCAGGTTCTCAAAGGCTTCCAAACTTTTGCCCTTTGTCGCCCGAGGAAAGTCCTCAACAATAGTAGGAACTGCGAGAATAGACTGGTAATGTGGCTTAACAGCTGGTGAAACCGCTGCGAAAGTCTTCGAAGTGCAGCCATAAGCGACAATTTCATAGTGGTGGTCTTCTGGGTGCACTTTGTTTTCAGAGCCGCGAGTTCGTGATGTGTCTCGTGAGTAATGGTCACAACCCCCTCCCCTCCCATCTCCCTGTCTCCGAGCTCGAAAATGATTGATTTACTCGGAACGGTGATCCCGCGAGAAACGCGACAATATTCAGCCTCCTCGCGGTTCTTGAATCGCAAGTTGATGCCTGACGTCGATTTCGGTGAGATGGGCTCGGCTGCGTGACGCATATGAATAGGAATAACAGCATCAATCGACTTCTGATTATCTTTGGCTTGGAGGGCCATGCCACCCAGCAGAGCTACTGCCGGGTTTGGAGCAGACAGCATTTCAGAGTTTTTGGCCAGAGCGAAATGGGAAAAAAAGACATAAGCATTTGAAAATGCTGTTTGCAAATCAGGGATGTCCGCCTTGGCCGTCACCGACTGAGCTTCCAACACCATAGCATCGAATGGCTTCGCAAATAGAGCCTTAAGAAAGTCAACGACAGGGACAGGTCGATGGAAATATGGGTCAGGTGAATGTTTCTTTGGCACAGAGTGGCTTTGTTTGAGGGCGATATCGTGAGCAATGGTCACAAGAAGTCGACTGCAGAGTTCCCCGCGCTCTCCCTTCGCAAGAAGTCCCTTCTCACAAGCCTGAGCTAGGATTTCTGGACCTTGCATTTCTATTCCACGGCCATCCAAAGGGTCGTTCAGACACCTTGCCGCTGCCTCAGCCAGTATAGGTTCAGAGGGCGATCCGGTATGCATGAACTCGCGATGCTCGGGGATGGCATAAACAACACGCATGTGAGACTCAACAAGTTCTGATTCCGTAATCCTCGAGGCTTGAGTTGTAATGTCGAAGGTTATCCCGATGCGAACCCCCAGAGCAGCAATGCGAGAATGGAATACTTTCGCTTTGTTCCCTTGCGCCATCAGTTTGTCTCCGGCGAACGGTATAACAGATAATCCTCCCCGCTCCAACCAGTTTTTGTGGTGGACATACCATCTATTGCGAATTTAGTATTTTGCCGCAAATGTAGCAGTCACTTACAGGCTACGTCCGAACCCTACCATTACATCCGTTCGGCCCACGTTTTCAAGGCTGCATTTTTTGTTCTTGCCCTTCAAAGATTGAAATACCTTTTTGGCAAATATGTCGAATGGCAGCTCGGTGAAAGGAGGGAAAAGGCGGAAGCCCTGAGAAATGCGAACTGATGGATGGCTAGCGGGCGAGGGCGTGAATTTCTGGAGATGAGAACTCGTAGATAAAAAAATGAAAAAAAAACAGGGAATTCTGTCAGCTCAGACAGCAATGTGCCAAGATTATGATAGGGCGAGCGACTCCGGGCCATGTCCTCTTCCCGTGGGACGAATTCGGTAAGCTGGTGAGCTTCATCAAAGTAAATGATGCATTTGACTTCTGCTCCCCCATCATTACTAGCCATGGCCTTAACAAACGTGTCACACGACTTCTGCATTCCGGTGTTGAGCACCACCAGTTTTCTCTTTCATCTGGTCGTAGCTCCATCAATTTGAGCTTCCCAAGGAAATTTAGCATGAGGCAGCAACTATTAATGCCTCTAGACATCACCTTACGTGCCCCATCCACCACAGAATCCAGGAACACCTTCCTATTCATACCAACTTCGGTATCGGTCCGTCCTTCGTCGAGATATTCAGCCCATTCATATGCTAGCTCTGCTCCTGTTTTATATTTGAACCTGGGTTTCTCGAGAAGTGCGGCGGCCTTTGTGAATAGCACACTCAATGTAATTGCATACTCTGCCTGCAGCCGAAGATCGCTTTTTGCATGATGTCCTTGAAAATAACGGCGAAACTCTGTGTCTGGAGGAGGATAGGTTGGCGGTAAAATTAACATCGATGAGCGCAAATATGGGATTCGCGATGATATATTGCGCACTTTCGAGACCATGGCCAAGCTCCTCACGAATATTGATTGGAATCGTAAATACGGAGAGAGAGGCTTCGGCGACCATCCTGGATTTTCCCATACCCGAAGACTGGATTACTGATAGCGACAAATTATATGGTCTCAGAGATCGTGCCATCTCGGCACTTGACTGCCAATGCTCGTTCAATATCTCGATAAGCAGCTTGTGTGTTGCTCCTTGGTAGGGTTCTTCAAATGCTTCTTGAAGACCTGATGCAACCCGTCAGGCGGATGAGGGGCTCAAGATAAACAGGTGCTTACCACGAATACTACGACTGGTTGGAAGCCTGCCACCCACCTGACTAGTACTGTACATACACGACCAACTACCGGGTGGGGTTGGAGCGTCACGCTGGGAGAGTAAACCGGCTGCTCCTGATGAGACGTGACCAGGGTTGGACTTGACGCTATCAGATCACCTGGTCAAATGGTCAAGTGACAGACACTGTATCTGATCGCGGTCAATTGTCACAGGGACTAGATATATTGGTCAAATCCAATACATTTGAGAGTATCTAAACATGTGATGAAAGACTATATAGTTATAATGTATCGGAATTGGCCGAACTCATTGGCCCCATCCCGCGACCTGGCTCAAACTTGAGTCCAGGTCTAGATTCATATCTCTCGCAACTAGATCCTGCATCTCCAGCTCTTGGGCCATATTCTGTACACCCTGGAACCAGTAATGATTCCATGGCCCATCTAGGGTCATGTTAAAAATGTCGTGTATCATTTTACCTTGTAAACTCGTCCGCTAATTAGAATGGAGTTAAATATCAATGATAGAGTGGGATCTAGGAAGTGCTTACATGCCGAGAGTCATGTGTGTTATGGGATACTGGGAGATGGCCAGCATCTGAGTCCTCGTTGAGATTGTCCAGCAGGTTGGCCCGGAATGACAAGTATGAATGATTGGCATCATCGGGAATTGAAGATGGGTGCCCAAGCTCAGGCTCTAGGCGACTCCCTGTTGGGTTGCAGTCATTTGCTGATGGGGCATAGCCAAATGAACGTCGTATGCGCTTCTGATGTGTCCCTTCAATTGTGTGCTCGCAATTGAGGTCTAATTTGATAGCAGAGATTTTGACCATTTTTTCAACAGACAGCCGGTTTCGGGAAGGATCTTTGGTGTCACCAGTGATAGAAAAGAATCGCTCACAACTGGCAGAATTGCAAACAAAAGAGAAAATGAGGGTTGCAAGCTTTGCAACTGGGTCCGTGATGCATGCACATCGCCATGCTTTGAGTGGATTGAAGTCCTAAGGAGAAAAGACCTGAGAAATTACACATATAAAACATGGGGATTCTTACCGGAATCCGCTTGCGTAGGTTATTCTGACTCCAGTCACCACCAGTATAACCAAAGGCATCATGCGGATCCGTGAGATATGCAATATTGCGTGGGCCCAATGCCTCAGGTGCATCTGTCTCAAACACGCGGCAGTATAGCCTTTCTATCATGGTGACCAGGAGTGCAATAGAGACCATTGGTGTAAAGAGTGTAGTCTTGACAAATGGATTGAGTGCGACAGCTACAATAAAAACATCATGGTCGACTTTTTTCCAGCGGGAATCCAGACTGTCAAGAATAGCTTGGATTGGTGAAGGGTTGTTGCCAGGAGTGACCAATGCCGTAGCAGAAATATCGGTGTAGTACTTGCAGAGGCGACCAAAAATAAGCGCTACCTGATCGGCCCTAGTGTTGGAATCTTGACAAACATTGACTGCAACGGCAAGTGGCTCAATGTGCTCCTTGATCCTAAAAAGGAGTTATTTCGTAGCAGAAGAGAGATAAAGTACTCTAACTCACTGTTTCAAGTCATCCCAGAAGTGTTCATCCTGAATTATTGCAAGAATCTGCTGCGCTTTTGTGATTGTGTCACGCTGTGTTCCAGCAGCCATTTCAAGTTCCTTTCTACTCCTCACTGCAATGGTTTTAAATGGAATTTCCAGTTGGATTAGCCGGCCAATGGCCATTATGTGGGATGTCCACTGAGTGATACAAGGTCTAATAAGAGCCCTTGCTCGATCTGCAGTGCGGCATTGCTCCGCATATAGTAAATGAAGTGCAATTGAGTGATTGTTGAACCAGTTAATAACGTCGTTTGCCTCGGCCAACCTCAGTGACATCTGCCCATTTTTTTTAATGTAATCCCCAAGCACAAGCTGCATCTGTGCAAGAAATAAGTCAATGAATCAACTGCAAAGTAATCCCCACAAAATGTACTTGGTGTGCATAGCAGTCCGCTACAATCAAGTGTGGGAACTGCTCCTGCAACCGAACATGTGTGGCCCTTGATTCTCCTGAAGCATCTGAAACCCAGCCAATGAGCTTTAGTTTGGGTCTATCCTCAATGTAGTCCTTCTCTTCCTTGATGAGTGCCAGCAACCTTTCTGCTGTCTTCCGTTCACTTGAGGTATTATGAACATGTGTCAAGCGTACCTAAATGTCATATCCGTGCATACCCGACCCCGACCCGACTTCTGGACCTCCACCCTCTTCACCTCCGGAGTCATAACCTACCGCTGCCGTTCCAATACTCACCTTCGGTCCTGGCAACACACCTCCTCCTTACCTCTCTGACCCTATCTCCATCCGCTCCGATACTCACCTTCGGACCTGACTACTCTCCTTTCCGCCACTCCTTCTCCCTTACCTTTCCCCTCTCTCCTCCCTCTGTTACTCCTCCGCCACCCTTCCGCCAAGTTACGACCTTCCACCGCTGTCCCGTACTTCGCACTCGGACACCGCTCATACCTTGCTCCGAGCCTCCGTCATAGTCCCTACCTCGGACTTTGACTCCACCTCAGTCTTAGTCCATTGCATTGGTGACCTCATACTACGTAAACACCATTGCCAATATCCCTCGGACTTTCAACCCTGCCTCCATAACCTCCGTAAGCTCCACAACCCCCGAGCTTCGCGGATCGCCTTCGGCACTCTCGCCGCTTGTAATGTATTTCTCGCGTTTTCCCCTCATCCCTATTTGGACTACTGCTTCTTCCTATTCTAGCCAGTTAGTCATCATCCCCACTTCCCCTCATCCTCCTGCCCCTCTGGGCCTCGCCCTCCCTACCTCCTTTCGGATGTATCACAGGTCCTGCCTTATGACCTTCGGTACCGCTCCGCTCCTTCTACCCTTTGTTCCTGTTCGGACGTCTTCGTTCCGATTCGGTTACCCTTTGTTCTCCTTGTGCTTTTGCCCCTTCCATTATATATATCGGCGCTTGTACATACTCGTTTTGGTTTAGTCCGAAATCGACCTGAAATGCCCCCTAGAGACTTCCTGCTCACCTACTGTGAAATTAAGGACCAAATGGACAAACAGCAATGGCACAGCGCTCCGCTTGAGTTGCTGAGGCCAAGGTCCCTCCACGCTAAGTCTCTGATTCCACTCCGGAGTCGTCTGTTTCCGCCCGGTTCTAACACTAAATTGCGTTACATAGTCATTACAAAAAACACTAGAAATTATTGTAACTCACCATTCCCATACATGAGATCATGAATGCAACAATGTGATTCCTAGATGTGTCTTTCCATCCATCACATTGCCCAGTTGCGTATGCACCTTCCATCATTTGAGTTAACGCTTCTTGACGGGAATTGTATTCAGCATCTAGGACCTTTCCCGATAGGCGCTTCCGAGGTGGGAGTTTAATTCCCACTAGAGAGAACAGCTTGATGACCTCTGGATCATCAACTGAGAGAAAAGACCACCCAGCTGACACAATTGCGCGAAGCAATTGTTGTTCAAGTACAGCCTGATCTAGATCTAGGGGGTGAGGTGGAATTTGTGAGAAGCTTCTCCGGCGAGTTGGAATGTTGTCTGTGGGAGGGACAAGTAGCAGAGGGGTCAGAGATGGAGATGGAGAGGTGTGGATAGTTGACGGATTTTCAGTGCTGATAGATAGCCAAGGGAGGGGTGAAGGCTGCTTCTCTCGTGCGCGTTTCCAGGCCATTCCGGCCTCACGGCCTTCAGCAGAAGCATGTGTGCATACTGTTAGGTGTTGTGCAAGCCTCGCAGTAGATCCTTGGATTTTGGGAGGGAGTTTGCTTGCTAGAATAATTTGGCATTAGGAGACGCTAAGCTGTGTTTAGACATACCAGCTGCCCTGAGTTCCACCTCACCACGTCTCTCGGATATAGCGCCCGACATCAATTTTTCCGTGTCTTCATTTTCAAGCGCTGTGATGTGTGATTCGATACACCCTTTGCATATAGCAGCATAGTGTGTCTTATTATTCCCGTAAAACTCAGACAATTTGTGAAAGAACTCCCAGAGGGGGCTAGGTGCTAGACCCATTGGTGAAGCGTGATGTAGGAAGTGGAAGGATTATTCACATTTAAAATTTTAAACTAAGCCTTAAGCACCATCAGGGTTCAAGTTGCATGGACACTTTAATTTCACAAAACTAATAAGATGGCTGAGATGGTGCTCGGAGAGCTTCACATTTAACTATAACCCACACCAAATCTTTTCGAGGGAGGGAGGGTTGGCACTGGCATGACAGTTGCCATCTCGATGCGTGCTCGCTTCATGTTCCCACAGGGATTGACCAGCAATTGACGCGGAATTGACGTGATCTGATACGAATTTGACCCATCAGTGTCTGACCATGTGACAATTTGTGACCAGTGTCAATCCAACACTGGATGTGACAGACAACCGGTGATAGCGGTACATGTGTGACAGACATCCGGTGATAGCAGTATGTGCGTGAGAGTGACGGTCTCCGACGGTGAAGTTAGTCTTAAATCCGAATAAATTTCAAATTGTATTATACTCCGTTTGGGCTCCTTTCCCAAATTTTAGTTGTGCTCCCTTTTCCTCAGTACAGCATGGACGGTTTCTCACTGGCTCGACGGATAATTTCCTGCACTAATGAAACAATTCCATATGCGGGCATTCCACCACACCTGATTGGATCCTGTTTTCCTTCCCAAACCATAACCGTGGCCAACTTCCTCACAATCAAACTTCCCTCACTTCAATTCCAGTTCAAAAATTCTGATCATTTATTGATCAGTGATCATCCATCTTCCATTGAACAACTCACAGAATGGGATCTTTGCACACTGAAGTGTCCTCCATGCTCCGAATTGGACAGATTGATCTCCGAAGGCCAAGAAAAAAATGCCACTTCAGTCAGGCTTGGCTCTTGCTATGTCCCCATTGCCATCTTCAACATTTGGAAAGCCATGCTCCAAGTCCATGATATCCAGGGTCTATGGAAAGATTCAGTCAGGCACGCATCACAGCTAATGGCTCAGCACCCTATGCTTCAACCAGAAATCCAGATGGCACAGGCA